TGTGTCATATACAAAAACATCTGCTTCTATATGTCCTTGCGTCCTCGGGTTTAGATCTTGTTCCTTGAAATGTATGGATAGAAGGTTTGAAAGCAAACCTGTACTCCATTTTAAACTTTACCCCTTTCGTAACCAGGGGACGTTGGTGCCTAGATGGCTAGGTGAGGTTTTGCAGCGTCATCATGCATTTATTAACAATTATTTTCATCATCTATTAGTTGGCAGATTATTTTTTCGCTGAATCACATAGAATAAAATAAAAATTAAATACCATCATTTATAGGGATGCACCGATACCAGTTTTTCCGATATCGAGTACTCATACTTTGCTTTCAGTACTCGCCGATACTGGTGCTTCCGCTGGCATTGAGCTGCCTTTCTGGGCAAATCAGGAAGCTGGGCTTCCTGACTGCCCTGGAAGCCGGCTCCATGTTGTTCGGCTGCCTTGATTGCGATTGGCTGGGAAACCGGCTTCCTGGCCAATCAGCATCGAGCCGCCCCAACAGTATCATGTTTAATCATCTCATAGCTGCTATCATTTTAAAATAAAATACATACTGCTTAGGGAATCTCTAAAACACATATTGGGTCAGCTAATTCATGTCTCCTCTTTCCAGTGGAAGTTGGGCTTCCCGATTGCCCAGGAAGCCGGCTCCATGTTGTTTGGCCTGCTTGATTGCGACTAGCCGGGAAACAAGCATACCAGCCAATCAGGAAGCCAGGCGGCGAGTAATGATCCTGGCTGGTCAAACAGCCAGCTCCTTGCGGATTGGCTGGGAAGCCGGCTTTCCAGCCAATCAGCAAGCAGCCGGGTCATTACTCGCCGCCCAGCTTCCTGATCGCACGGGAAGTTGGCTCCATGTTCCCCTACGGGAAGCTGGCTCCATGTTCGGACAAAATCTTTCTCTGACCGGACGTTCCGGTATTGCCACCGATCCTAGTATCGGTGCATCCCTATCATTTATTTACAATAAAAAGCACAAATGCAGTGTTACAAAGCTTACTTCAGAATAAAACGGTATGCACAATTTTTTGGAACACGCCACCGAAACGCATGGCATTGCAGTACCGCACGTTCCAGTGCGGCCGATCACACTACGGAAGGGAGGTGCATTTGGGATGCCATTGAAATTAATGGCACCACAATGCAGTTCTCCTTCAGGTCCTCCTCTGCTGACTTGACAGCAGGCAGTGGGCGGGTGCAATAGCCAGCCTGCTATTGCAATTTAAAATAGCCAATAGCAGGCGGGGTATTTGACGCCGGCTTTAGAATGCCAGCAGAAGAGGGGGCATGGGGGAGCAGCTGAGAAACCTGTGGCACGGGGGCAGCAGAGAAGAAAACGGGGCAGCAGCAGAGACACAGGGGGCAGAGGAGGAACAGGCAGCGAGGGAATGCAGACGCCCAGTGGTCTCTCCTCCCCACTGGTGCCATCTGCAGTGGTCTGTGTCCATGCTGCCTCTCAAATACAGGAGGGAAGAGCAGCGGGGATTGAAAGGGAAACAGACCGCTGCAGACAGCACCAGCAGGGAGGAGAACAGGGGAGCAGAGTGGCGGCTTCAACAAATCAACTAATTGATAAGAATCGTTGGCAATGATTCTCATTATCAATTAGTTGTTTCAGCCCTATTAACTAATTTGCACACCTACATTTTCCTGCAGCCCGTACACATATTAGGCAGCATGGCAGTGGGCTTTAATAGCAGGCGGCCACAAATATACTTATAGCCAACATCCCTGGGAGTGCGCTCAATCAGAATTATGGCGATACAACTGTATACCGTTCATGGTTGCTAGTAGGGATTTGCATGGGCTTGTTGCCAACAAAGTTCGCCTAAGGCTCATGCAAAAGTGTCAGTTGACACATCCCCTCCAGGCCATATTGACATTCATGCTGACAGCCAACATCCCTGTTCTGTGCTGGGAGTGCGTTCAGTCATGTGAGCCCAGCACTGTGTCTGCATTGTCACCAACAGCTCCCAGTTAATGGTTTACATTCCCCAGTTGGCAGGATGGGCTCCTGAGGCGGTAACCACAGAGCGGGTAGCTGGGAGACATAGCCCTCTGACACACCCAACGTGTTGGATGCTGAAGGTTCTACCGACAGCTCGAGTGAACACTGGCAGCAAGTGAGGCAGCAATGAGAAGTATTATGCATGTACTTTCATAAGAGGTCTTTGAAAAATTATTTTGCTATGGGACATTGGGGG